CAGGAGTGCTCAGAGTGGCATAGCCAGGAGTGCCCATGCCTGCAGCCAGACTGCTTGGGGATGATACCAACTCCATTAATTACTATGAGGCTCTGGGCAAGCTCATTAAACCCTCCTTGGGCCTCCATTTACTAATCTGTAAAATGGTGCTAACAATGTAAACAAGATTATCAACCCAAAGGTTTTCTATGCCAATCCCCCCAGTGACGTGCAGAGGGCTGAGCACATGGCCTGGCACCGTATGCCAATATTACTGAAGAGAAACCTAAGACTGTTCTTCATGGCCCAGATGAAATAATAATAACCTCACAAGTGCAGAGTTCAAGAAGGGGAAAATTTACCACTATATCATCTTTTGCTTAAGGCATTTCTGAGTTGGTTTTCAAACTGTTCCAGCCATCAACAAAAACTTCCTAGTCCCTTGATGTTGACTACCTCAAAACACAGGGTTGACAATGAAGCCAGAGTCAAGACAACCTTGAGAAACCATTGAGCCCTCATTCAGAAGCTGGGAATCCTATTGGGTGGTTCTGAAAATTGTCATCCACCATCTCTTGGGACAGTGTCATGATGCAACTAGTACTGGAACTTTAGGAAACTTGCAGGAAAAGGTGAGTGCATTAGAGTATGTTCATACTTCTTTCCTACTGAAAGAAGGTCCTATAAGAAACAGATGTTTGCTCCTGGGTGGAGCTGCAATTTCCCACCAGTAATTTGTGTGGCAAACCCAAGGATTAGGGAGTAGACCAGTTGTCCCAAGTAGACTTCGATTTGTCAGTCTCACAAACACTTTGTACTTCCCTACAGGATCCAGAGTACCCAAAAGCCACTACCAACTGTCCTGCTGTAGCTCCTGGGGCATTACACAACCCCGCCTAGTGCTTGTGGAAGGGAAGTATAAATGTGGGTGAGATTTACTGTTTTCTTCTAAGTGACAGAGATTCTCTGGGTAAAAGATGGATTAGGAACTCAAGGGCAAACATGTCTACCAAAAGGGCAGACTCTCCTGTGATGAGGTAAATGGTCTAAGGGCTCGATGTTCCAATCTGTATTTTACAAACTTCAGTAATCTCCATATCATGCTCCTAAATGTTGGTACATCCAACTATCTTCAATTATGAAATGTTTTTAATTGACTCTAAATTGAGATATCATAATTTTTACTTGTTTTATTCTATCCAATATCTATAAAATCACTGATCTGACCTCCATATTATGTACGTGTGTTTCCATATATATTAACTAAACACATAATTACTTTAATTTTAAAAAAATTATAATTTCATATGACACGTTGGAGAAAAATGTGCCTTAGTGATACAAAAATATACTCTTCTGTAAATAGTTTAAAATATTTTCTCCCATTAATTTTCTGTGCTGCTTAAGGGAATCAAATACACCCTCACATCTCACTGTAATGACATCTGGGCTGAGTGAGGCATGGGCTGTGTTGGGGGGAAGGCCAGGCCTCCACTTGGCTCCACCATTCCAGGAAGCTGCTCTTTAAGGGGACAACATCCATCAGAGAAAAGCAGCCCATGTGTGCCAACTGTCATAGCAGCAATGTGACAAGGAGAGCAGGACCCACAGCAGAAGAGGGGACACCCAAAAGCAAAATCTATGGTCACAGAGAGGTTGAAGACAAGCAGGATGTAATGCCACCCTCTCTTCCTAAATATCCTACAGGAGATGGCCTTAAGGGAGAAGAAAAATTACCCCTGACTATCTGAATGAGACTTCTCTACCTCACGCTACTTAAGCAATAGATTTCCTCTGTAATAAGCTAGGAATAAATAGTTATTTTACTTGGTTGACAAGAAAAAGAAGAGAAAACAGATTGCCACGTAACATAAAGCTATTGCCAAGGAGGAAATGAATAACAATGAAAAAATGTTGAAAGTCTATTGTGATATTTCAATATTTATGGTAGGAAAACGCACTCACCCGGACCATAAAGCTGACTGAAATGTTAAACTGAAATATTTAAATAAGTAAGTGTTAGAGGTAAGGAGGAAAGAGGCCCATCCCAAGTCAAATCACTGTGCTTGGGATCTAAGGTATGGCCTGTGTGATTTAGGCTTGTTATCAGCCTTCTCACCCAAATGGTAAATCACTGCATGTTTCCAAGGAAGAGAACCCCAGGACACTCTGTGATTCAACCTGTGAGAGAGCACAGAACCTCCCCTGCTGGCGTTCACAAAATGAGGTCTATTATTCATTAGGAAAATATTGATGCACTCATAACTGGAATGTAATTTCTCTTTGGAGGTTCAGACAGTCAGAAACTATTCATTTAACCTCACATACTAGGGAGGATTTGTTCCCCTGCACCTTGCAGTGACATGGGTTCCTCCATTCTCAAAGCCAGAAGTGAGGCATCTGTGAATCTCTTTCTGGCCTCTCCTCCCTCCTTCCCTCTTACAGACTCCTGTGGTTATACCAGGCATAATTCAGGACACTCTCCCCATTTCAACATCCTTTGTCACTCCGGAGAAATCCCTTTTGCCATGTGAAGGCACATGTTCATGGTTTTAGGATTAGGATGAGGAACATTTCAAGGGGCACTGTCCTCCATGTGGACACACATGGAGGCCTCCAGCAGGTTCTTCTCCATCTAAGCACTTGCTTCTCTGCCCTCTAGACTGTAAGATTTATGAAGATAGTACCATAGATTTATTATCCTACTGGGTATACAGCAGTAGTGTACTAATTAACAGTCAACCACATGTTCTCCAGGAGAAAAAGAAAAGTGCCTCCATCAGTAGCTGTCCCAAGTTCCGCGGTTGGCATACTTCCATCATGGCCAATTTTGCGACAGTGATGTCACTTGATATGGAATTAAGACACACAGTTGCCCACCCCCAACTGATATAATAAATAACCACAAGGATATAAACAATAGTAAAATGGAGTAAAATAACTACTGCAGGGGGCTGGGGTGGTAACTCAGTGGTAGTGGGCTTACCTCAATACCACATAAAAATAAATAAATAAAATAAAGATATTGGGTCCATCAACAACCAAAAATATTAAAAAAAAAACACTAGGACAGGATGGGTTTTGACTATAACCTTTGCTTTTATTTTAATATGATTTATTTAACTGCGACTATAGATACATGTAAATAAACTAATTTTTAATAAGGACTCTTTATCAGTCAGCTTAAAACCTTCCTCAAAACATAACAATCAATTCTTACAATTGTGAGAATTGTGCTGTAGGTATATAATAAATATTTGTTCATTCAATAAATGAAGTAGTATATCTAATGATAGTATATTAATGTATATTCAGATGTAAATCATCTGATTCATTTTTCTTTGCTAAAACATTAGTATTAAAATTAATTTTATTCTAATTTGAAGATAGGATACACTAAGTTTGAGCACTACCTCTGGTCACACAGCAATTTAAAAAGTAACACTTTGATCTTAGTTATTATTTCTTATTCAATTCTTTAGCTATTGTCAACCTTGGTGGGAATTATGTTGTTTAAAAGTATATTTAAGATATTTAACTATTTTATATGAAATGCAAACTAGTAGGTTAAATTTGAGACAAGCATTAAGAATATATTATTATCTTGATTTGGGAAAATTTTTCACATTCATAGTACCTGAAGAACAAAGTATGAATAATTAATATATTATTGCCAGGTATTATGATGCTAATCTTTAAAATTTTAAATTAAGAAGTGTCCTGAGAGCTTCTATTTATAATCCAAATGATAAAAAAATTCTTAAAAATTATTGAAATGAGACTTTCTATATTAGAATGCATATTTCCAGTTGCCTCTCCATAGTCCCTTTTAGTGAACAATACCCAAGTACTATGTAATATAACTTTTCTGCCTACCTTATACCTTCCCACCAAATCATAATGAACCTTCATAAGTCACATAAACATGACACTATTGAAGGTTTTCAGGCATTACTTCAGAATTAATGTGAATTACACAGCCAAGAAAAGTTTCAAAAGAAAGATGATATGTAACACCAACAATAGGATGATCAAAGATAAAATATTTGGCAAGAAAGCTTTCTAAAAAGCTTTCTAAAGTCAATACACAAAACACGACAAGGGAGAGAGGAGGAAAGAATAAAAGTGCATTGGACTAGACAAGGAGAATGAAGGAAGGGGGAGTGGGAACAGGAAAGACAGTAGAATGAATTAGACATAACTTTTCTGTGTCCATATATGAATACATGACCAGCGAAACTTCACATGTACAACCACAAGAATGGATCCTAATTAGAATAAGTTATAGTCCATGCAAGTATAATATGTTCAAATACACTCTACTGTCATGTATATCTAAAAAGAGCAAATAGAGGCTGGCTTTAAATTTATGATCCTCCTGCCCCAGCCTCCTGAGTTGCTAGGATTACAGGCATATGCCATTGTGCCCAGCTGAAATAAAATGTCTTCTATTGACTAAATAAATAAATAAATAAATAAATAAATAAATAAATAAATAAATAAATAAATAAATAAAGTCAACGAGTCTTTTCCTATATTTAATAAAACAAAATATGGGGAAGGAATTACTTTTCAATGAAGGGTGGTGAGTACACTTCCAAACATGTGTGGGCCAGTGTTGCTAAATGCACAGATTATGGAGAAAATCTTAGCAAGCAGAAGAAAGAGAACTCTGCAGACAGAACATATAACTTATAGAATTAAATTTGCAAAATTAACAAGAAATGTCATAATTATCAATATTTTCTTGCTATGAATAAAACATTTTGATTCGCTTGATGTAGACTGATTAACCAATGTAGAATTGTTTTTTCATTAACTTATATAAAACTTGGTTAAAAAAAATCAAGTTTATACTATCATAGCTTGAAAGCAAAAAATCCATTTAGACATCTTGGAACCACACTTATGGATTTTGATTGGGATCAAAATTCAAAGCCACAGTCAATGAAGATTATTTCTGACAGCCATCATACAAGAACCATCCATCCCAGGCAGCTCTAATTTCATGATTTACTTACACACTTCCTGTGGTAGAACTGCTATCAGTGAGGAAAGATCCATTAGTTCTTTCCATCTGGGCCAGTCTGAAAAAATGAAAATAAGGACATCAGATAGTGTGGCTGCAGAGAACATAGTCAACTGAGAGCACATCCACAGTCATTGCCATAGTTTTAACAGAGAAGGGTTCAAATCTGCTAACAAGATTATAAAACTAAAATGGAATCTAACGTCCAGCTACATTTCTATCACCACTGCCGTAAGGCCTTAGGCCTCTATCTTCCAGCAGACTGTATTGTCCCCTACCCATCTCTCAGGCCCTCTAGCTGGTCTTCTACATTGAAGGGGGGTTATATTCCCACACAAATCCAATTATGTTTTTTTCATGTGTAAAGGCCCTCTACAACTTTCCTTTCCCTAGGGACAGGATCCAACTCATTAACAACTGGGCCCTTCACCCTCAGACCTCAACTTCTGCCCCCCATGCTTTCTCCCTCTTTCACCCTTTCCCCTTCCTGCAGTTGAGAAAAGAAGCCACATTCTTTCCCAGTCTCATGTTTTTGAGTATATTTTCCCATCAGCCTAAGCAACCCTTTCTCCAAAAATTCTACTTGGTCCTGATTCAGTTCAAATGTTACTAGTTTTGTGACCCTTAAACTGGTGTTTTCAAGCATAGCCAGTTACTAGGACCATAAATGCCTAGTGTTAACTACTTCTCTGAAAATCTGTGCATACCATCAAGACTGCCCTATATTTTATATTGCTTAGGAGCTCGAAAACAAACCCCTATAATAAAGCATTAGTGTGCACTTAATTACATATTGTAATTCATAGATGTACCATCTCCTGAGAGTACTTTCAATCCCTGCTTTCATTCACCAAAATTGGGTCACATTATCTAAATCCTGCCTGTACCGTGTTTGGATTCTCATGAGCTCAGTAATCACAGCCTATTGAGATTTATTCTTCACAGAATATAGCGCAGGTGTTTGGTAAAGTACAAACTGCAATGCAAAGAGAGCCCAGATTCCAAATATAATGGAATTGCGGCTCCTGCAAAAGAACATTCCTTAAATGAAGATAGGTTAATAGTATTAGATTAATACAGAAATAGATATTATCCAGGGTGACAGTGGGGCAGAAGCCTCCTGTCAAATTTCTTACCTTGTGGCATACTGTTCTATTCTTGAATGGGTGTCATCGTGGAACAGCTGAGGAGACTGCGAAGGGCTGTTCAGGAAAAAACAAAGGGTGGTTTTATGTCAAATACTGATCGATGTTACTAGCAGGGATGTTAGTTTTAGTTTAGATAAATAATGAATTTGCCATGCAAACAAACCACCAGGATTGTTACCCAGGGTGTAGATGTATTACTTTAGAACAGGAGTTTAGCCATCATCCGCATGCTAGAAGGCCTGATCAGAACACCAAGCTCAACACTGGGCTGTGAATACTCACTCATAGTGCTCTGGCCACATACTGATGAGCGTGACGGGACTGCAAGGAGGGGAGAGGAGACAAAAGTCACAGAACAACACTTCAGAGCAGTCCCAGACAAAGGGCGGGGCATTCCACTCATACATCTACCTGACATCCATCATGGGGAAACCAAAAGTAACAGAAGTCACAGCTTATGCTAGAGAAGATGCTGTGTGTTCAAGTGTCTGTAGGGGCCTTTCTGGTCAGTCTTAGGTCTAATAGGATATTTGTTACAGGGGAATAGCAAATACATTTAAAAACTAAGAAAAAAAAATACTCAGGATGTTCTATAATAGCTCAAAATGCTAGAACAATGTTAATGAAAGCATTCTATATCATTCTGAGAGAAGATGTAATCATATTCTTGTTTTTCCTGGAAAAGAAGCTTGATCAGAAAGGTGTAGTTAAATATGTAACACCTGATTATATATTAATGGCAGAGTTGAAGTAAAATTAGATTTTTCTGATTCTTCACCCAATTTTAAATGAAAAACTCACACCCAGGTGTACACAGAGTATCTCCACTTCACGGATAGTTGGAAAAAGATGCAACCTACATCCCTCCCCTATAGTCCTCTAAATTGCCACAGCATCAATAAAACCAAAAGCAACATCTCTAGAGCAGGATATGTTGTCTTCAGACAAAATTTCCTCCAGAATTTCAATCTAGGAAACTGACAGATGACAATATGTTCTGCTCCACTCAGGGGCTTGGGTCTGCAGTGGGATTGTTCAGCATCACTTGAAGCTGAACAGTCTCTCACACTGCCTAGGAATCCCCAAGCCTCCATAAAATGCCTCTGAAAACATTCGATCCTAATAAAAGCCAGTTCAGGGGGTGGGGTTGTGGCTCAGTGGTAGAACACTTGCCTTGCATGTGTGAGGCACTGGGTTCAATCCTCAGCACCACATAAAAATAAAGGAAAAAAAAAGGTATTGTGTTATGTAAACTAAAAAAAAAAAAAATTAAAAAAAAAACCAACCTAGTTCAAACCCCAACTTTTATTTCCATGGAGGGGGAAGGGCAACAAATGTAGAAATTAAAAAGTACAAAGAATACTAGTTCTATACTTAAATAAATAAATAAATACAGTTTCCTGCAAAAGCTAATGCAGATTTAAGCAAAATTATTCTAGATTTCCTTGGTTCTCCTAGCTCTATTTTATGTCCATACCTAAGAGACAGTTAATGATGTCTTTATCTCTGACTGTGAAGCACAAGTCAATATCTGCATGGCAAAGACTAAAAAGAGATGAAAGGTCATCTTTTGGGGATGAAAAACTACAAGTCTTCAGACCTACTTTCAAAAACCCTGTGTTTGTCAGAATATCTAATCTGTAAGTAGCCTTGATTATACAGGTGCAAAATAGATACAAGAACAACTAAAAAATAAAACAACAACAACAAAAAAACCAGTATTATTCCTTACTCTTTTTACATCACTTCTTTTCGTTAACCTGAAATAAGGAGGTTAAATGTCAGAAGGCTGACTGGCTACACACTTTGTAAAAACAGTAACTGCCTGAGATTGTTGCTAAATTCAAGTGTGCAACAACATTTGACATGAACTTTAAACGGAAGAAAAATGTGTATTTTTGATCTGAACAGACCTTGGGAAAGCTTTGTGAAACTGCTTGACTGCTTCTGGTGAAGTTAATTCAGTTAGAACAAAAGTGATTCATGAACTGAGATAAGGGTGGCAGGGGCAAAAAACCATGTGAAGAGTTTCTGGAAAGAAGTTTATTTTTTTATGGAAAATTTTTAGCAAAAGAAACAGAGATTAAAAAAAAATCTAACTTTAGGCTTCCTAGGCTTCAAAGCATTTTGACTTGAAGGAAAAAAAAAACATTAAGTGATAAACTTTCACATTTAATTCTGGAAGGGAAAAATAAGGCTCTACTGAGTAGTAAGAACCTGTGGTTATTAAAGAGGGTTGAAAGTGAGACCAGGCCTGGGTATGCAGATCAGTGGTGGAGGGCTTGCCTGGCATTCCTAAGACCTAGATTCAAACCCCAGCATTGAAAATAAGTAATTATTAATTCTGATGGTGGTGATACCAATTGGTGTGTTAGCACAGACTTATACTACAGCCTCTCCTTGTTTTACAGTGTGCTGGTAGAGTAGGGTGTTTTGGTTAATCTCACATAAATAATGCAAGGAATTGGAATCTGTTAGACTTCATAATATGTGAAATGAAACCCAGACTTCAAAGAATGTTGTGATGTTTAAGGCACCTTTTTAGTGCCTTAAATTCTCAGCAGTCTGTTACTTATGCTTCTGGGTTTTTTTGCTTTCCTCAATCCACATGTCCCAAGGCAGGTCACTGGGATCCCAGCTGCTCTATTATATATAAATTCTCAATGGCTCCCCACAGCTCTGAGGATAAACTCCAAAGGCTCTGGTGTGGCTTACAAGGCCCTTCGTTTTCTGGCTTCTAGTTCTTTTTCCACTCTCACTTCTTGCCACTATTCTGGGCTTCCCACCCATTTCAGAAACTTATCATCCTCCATCCTTTTGAAAATGCTTACATTGCCCCCAAACTGTCCCTATTCCCCCTCCAAGTGCACCAATCAATCACAAGTTGCCTTATTCGTCTTTCAGATCTCAGCTTAGCTCTCTCTTCCTCCCAGTCCAGTGCTTCTGCAACCATAACCACTCCTACTATGAACTGGTTCTTGCTACAGCAAAATCTTTTTTTTTTTAATTATGAAACTCATCTATTCACTTCTACCAATACCAGAGACAGGTGTCTATTTCACTTTTTGCATCTTTAAGGAAACCAAACTAACCAACCATTTTAGTGGATAATCATCTCTCACAGCACTCAAATTACTTTTGTTTTTATTTTAGCTTGTTTCTCAGGTTTGTTTTCCATTATACACTTTTTAATCAACTTCCACTTATTTATTTTTTGAAACATCTTACATAAATTGCCATGAAACTAATGTAATAAACCTTAGCTTGGGTATCTTTAACCCCTTTAAAAATAGTTCTTTTTTTATCCCATAAATATTTTTCATGCATATATAATCACTACTCGGAGGATAAAACATGACATTTTACAAGATGAAAGAGAAAGAAGCAAAAGAAAACTCTAATCAGCTCCATAAATAACTTCAACACCTTCACCACTCCACTGGTTTTTCTCCAATGTTCTCCTCCCACAAATAGGAGAATAAATGTAATCAAACTTTTTTACTACCCTCTCACCAGAAGATGAAGTGGCCCTGTACTAGAAAGGGCTCAGGAGACAAATGAACTACCCCAAATCCAAAGAGCTCCGACTAGGATTTGAAAAAGAACATCTGCCCACTGTATTCAGCAGCTCATAAATCTTCTTCAATAAGGATCCTATGCATTGATTTAATCTGATACTCCTCCTTTTCTTTCTCTTGTTTCCCTCTCACTGATAAATTTATGTACAATGACGTGAGGCATTTTTAGCAGTGTACCCCAAAATTGGTGCATAAAATCATTTGACATGTTTTTCTGTTAATTTGCAGGTTAAAAGAGTCATTCATACTGGCACGATTGATTCTAATGATGACTGGACATCAAAAGGCAAACTATTGAAAGTATTTAAAAAGAGTATGAAAGATATATCTACCTGCATGCTTCAGGTGAAAGATGTAGATATTTGGGATACAAAATGCCAATGGTTTATCAAAAGAGCACAAGGTACATTGCTTAATTCAAACCTATCAAATGACCCTATAAATTAAAGCACCAAGTGGTAATTCTATGGTTTAGACAGCCACTACAAAGGTTAGTTGGATCTGATATAAACAGATGTAAAAGCTTATCATAAGGTGTTCAGCTTAGTTAAACAGTAAATTCTATTATAAAACAAGAATTAGCAGAATTATCAGAAGAATAATATTAGCAGAATTATTTTACTAGAATTATTAAACAAAAAGGCAAAACCATACCCACAAACAAAAGAGAAGACCAGAAATAGACATTTGCTGAATATATGTAAATAGCTCCCCCCTCCCTCCATGAAGAATTGAACCCAGGAGGCTTAACCAGAGCCATATCCCCAGCAATTTTTTTTTTCTTCTTTTGAGACAGGGTCTTGCTAAGTTGCTTATGGCCTTGCTAAGTTGCTGAGGCTGGCTTTGAACTTACAATCCTCCTGCCTCAGCCCCACAAGCTGCTAGTTAAATAGCTCTCCTTAAACTAACATTGATCTCATAAAATTTGTTCTAATTTGAACAGTGGAAAAAACAATTAGGAACGTCACGTACCTGAACTGTACACAGTTTGTTATTAAGCAGAATTATCAAAAAGTTTGAATTCTTTCTTATACTCTATATGTGCACGTGTTATATGGACCTTTCTATATATAAAAGAAAGATTCATGTGCTCAGAAATTCAGAAAAGTTCCTGTTCTACCAGGCTACCATGGGGATAAAAGAAAAAAATATCAGACCAAGTCATCTGTTCTATTTTGACATTTTTGAGCCACTGACTGTCAGAACACATTGGACTACTACGATTCTCTGATTATCTCTCATATTCAAAATAAAATGAAGTATGACAAGCCACTCTGGTGATGATTAGCAATACAAGTTGATTTCCCCAGATGCAACCACAAAAGCATGGCCTTGGCAAGCATTTTTAAATTGTCTTAAAGTGATTCAAAGACTTAAATTTTTTTCAATTTTGATCTTCATATATAATTGTTTAGTAACATAAAATTACTTCCTTGCATTTCTTCTAGCTCATTTAAAGCCATTTTTTTTCCTTTTCCTTTCAAACTATAAATTTTTATTTTACTTAGCTTTATAAATCCTATAGCAATTATGGTATTTTAGAATTTTATTTATGGTCATCAACTCAAAATACATACTTAAAAATATTAATATATACTTTGAAATTTTCTATTGCATGTAATACATAAAGCTGTTTCATTTTGCTGCTTTCATCTTTAACAGAAAAGAGATAAGAAAGGTAATGGGATTTTGATAAGATTTTTAGCATAGATGAGTATGTGAAGCAAGAGATTGAGTATGACTAATAAATTTCTATTAAAAAAGATTAAAATGCACTATGAGAAATAGCAAAAACAACTCCAAAGGGGAACGGGGATGAGAAAGCACTAATATTAAAATTTTATTTAAGTACTTTTAAAAGGAAAAAGAGATGCTCAAGAAAAGAGGTCACCAGTTTGGAAACACATACAAGATTAATGTGTTTAAGCTGCAACACTGTCAAATGTAAATAACTAAGATTCATAATTGTAAAGACTGATTCCAAGGAATTTACCTCCCAAGACAGAACATTTTATCAAAACACAAATCTTTTTGGTTTTAATTTCTCATGTGCTACTAACATTAAAAAAAAAAAACAACATAAGGTGTAAATGTTCATAGAATATTTAATTAAAAATGGAACTTACGTCTCCAAGTTGTCACCTTCAAGAACTGTCTGAACAGGCAGGTAGCCAAGCCGAGGATGTTTAGCAAAGTATTTCTTTGACCTGAACTTGTTCTTCAGCACCTTTGTGAAGTCCCGGACATCTTCCCCAGATGTTGTCTGTGAGATTGAAAAAATTACACTTCTCATGAAAATCAAAGGAGATTACTCTCTACAATGAAATTAGAGTAAACTGATGCAATTTAATACCAACCATTGGCTAGTTTTATGAATTTCTGGAATTATACATGATATTATGAAAATACATGGCAACTGGTATTCACTAAATGTATCCAGTGATTGATGTTTTAAATTTTCTCTTGAAAATAAACCAAAACTATACATTTCCCCAATATTTTATGACTTGAATCAAAAAGTTAAATTACTTTTAGAAATATTATTGCTTGATTTCTATTGCTAAAATGATTTGATGTTTAAAAAGTAGTGATGACGACTAGTAACATAAACTGAGTGAGTGATAAATGTTATTTATTTACTCTGCTGTGTGCTCCCTGCCCACAACCTGTCTTTTATTTCACAAGTATTGCCCAGGACTCATATGAACTTGTTTTGAAAAGAGAAAGTTTAAAATATAGCTATATTTTAAAACAATTAATTAGTCGGCATTTACATAGCTGTGCTACTTTTTAGGATACTCCCTTTCCATCTAAATATGTTTGCTTCTAATAAAGACTAAGGGAAACTTTTGATTCTACTCTAGGCTTGCAAAGAACAGAGGCATGAATAGTCCCAAAGCCAGTTATGAACTAAAATTCATCATCAATTCTCACATTATTAAAACAAATAACTTCCAGCAAGGACAGACCTGCACAATCATTAGGCCTTGACTCGAGATTTATAATGTCAAAACATTTTCTGACTAACTGAAAATGAACTATAAGGATCTGAAGTTATATGGATACCGACCATCTCAGATATCTAACAGACATGCAGAAAAAACAAATTAAAAAAGAAATCAAGGCAACTTTGTGTAGGAAAATGGGTTGCTATAAGAGATGGTGGTCTGTGAATATTCAGATTTTATCAAGCAGAATAGGAGAGAGAATAAAGTTGGGAGTCAAGAAGGAAATGCAGAGAATGAATATCTGGGACTGAGCATAAAACTGAAAACATATCCCTCAACTGCAGAGGATACTCATAGCTTTTATAATACCACAATAATTTAGTTTATAGATAGACTGCTTCTGAATGCCTTGTAAAAATGGCTAAGGGAAGAAGCTTTTCATAACAGAAATGCCAAAAGAAGAACCTTGTGTTAGGATAAGCATTTGTGGCCCAATTATTTCTATGTCTGCTCTTAGCACATTGTTAATATACATAGAAATACTTGATGAAGTAATGTACTCCAGCCTTTACTTGGACTGTCTCCAAGCCTGGCAATGGAAAGGTTTGGATCTCCTAGGCTAGTGGTTTTCAAGTACATCTAGGTCTCCAATTTCCACCCTGAGTTGGGTGGGCAGGAGAAAATGCCAGTGGTCAAGTCACCAAGTTCTTTATCCAGTATGCCTTAAACGAGGCAGCATATATTGTACAATTTGGTGGTTATTAGTGTATTCAGAGCTGAACAACTATCACCACTATATAAGTACATAATATTTCATTACCCCTCAAAGAAACTCCATACCTCCATCCCCCAAGCCTGGCAAGCTCTAATCTATTATCTGTCTCTATGAATTTGTCTGTTCTGGACACTTCACAGAAATGGATTCATATGATACATGGTCTTTTATGACTGGCTTCTCTCATTGAGTATAATGTTCCAGTTTATTTATATCTGGGTTCCTACATGGACTTATGCTTAGGAAAAAATTACAAATCACCCCAAAACACAAGTCTAATTCCACATCATATATTGTTTAGTAAATATATTCAACATATGGAAGACCATGGGAAAACCAACCAACAAAAAAACCTCCTTTCTACCCCTCCTACTATCACCACAACCAACCAACCAACCAAGCACGTACCTTCTCAGAAAGTTATAACAGAGACTGAAATTCAATTGTTTTTAATAGTGTATAGATTTGCATTAAAAAATAGTGCATATTCACACAGAAAAAGAACATTTTTATTTCCTCAATGATTTTCATACTGAGGGGGAAAAAAACCTCTCACCCAAAGCTGTAATCTTAGGACATTAATTCACTAGTGCCATAAACCTCATGCAATATTAAAAAAATATGAAATGTTATTCATCCCACAGAAACTAGGGATTAGATTCAGGGTAGCAGAATGTAATTCTTCTGTTGGGATAGAGCCAAGAAAATGAATTAAACCCACTTTTTCATCAAAAAATGTTAAAATATTTATATATATTTGGTCTAATTTGCTATCTAATGACAGTTACTAATATTTCTCTAAATTATAGTATAGTGGTTTGGTTAAAAAATAAAAGAAGAAGAAAGAGGACCATGTACCTAACAAATTAAATATAGTCAAATTGAACTCTATCTTCACAGTATAGACATGACACTTTGTTTTTAAAAAGCAAATAACTATTACTATGCTATAACTTTCCATTTCATCTCCTTATTATGGCTTACCATAATAGGGAGTCCTGTCATAATAGGGAGATGAAATGGAAAGGAACACTCATTACTGTCCAAATTATCCAACATTTTAAATGACACATGCACTTCATGACAGATTGGGTTTTTGTTTACTGCCGTAAGGACAAAAAAAGATTTTGCAGATCCCATTACAAATGAGTGCAGTAACACACTAACATAGAACCTTGGACCTCATAATTAATTTTCTTTCAATCTCATCTAACTGCCATGACTTGTAAAGACATTATTATCAGTTATTTGACCTGAAAAGAAACTAACATTAAGCCTTCAAGAACTCCAGTCAAGTTCACTAAAGAGAAAGCTGTTATGGCAAACGTGGGCCTTTTCATCACATCAGCACTAGGTCACTACAAGAAAAATGGAACCATTTTAAGTTTTGTAGGAGAAAGAAACCATAGCCCTTGACAAAAATATCTGTTATTACATTCTGAAATCTCTCTTCATTTTAAACAAAACAGTGCTAAGATGCCATTGGTTGATCTTTTAGAAATTTACGTTGAAATGACGTTATAGATTTAAATTGTATCAAATGTTTAATGCAACTACCATTAGAAAGAAAATATAAATAAGGGAGTAAAAAGAAGGAAGGAAGGAAGGAAGGAAGGAAGGAAGGAAGGAAGGAAGGAAGGAAGGAAGGAAGGAAGGAAGGAAACTGTAAACTGGCTATTCAGTCACCCAAAGATAACCACTCTTAAAATTTTGGAGACTAGACTGATATATATTTCAATCTTTATTATTGTAAAATAGAGACAAACACAACAAGTTATGGCTTCATGAATTATCATGTGACAATACCATCTGATTAAGCTAATGGAGTTCTGCTGAATATTCTAGAAGCCTTTTCCATTCGCAACTCCCTTTTCCTCTCCATAATAAACATTATGCTCATTTTTATGTTATAAATAACTTATTTATATTTTGAAAGTAGTTTTATCACTCCACCTTCTATCCCTAAATATTATGGTTTATTCTTGTGCATATTAAAAAGTCCAGTACTGATTAATTATTGTTTTCAATCCATAGTCTTCTCCTCTACACCTGCCTTTTTTTTTTTTATTTGTCTGTTGGAAAACCCAGGCAAGTTGACATATACAGTTTTCCAGACTCTCAATTTTGGAAAAATGTGCATTTCTGTTGCAATTCATCATGTCCCTCTGTCCTCTAGCTATCTTGAAAATTACCAGCTAGATCCAGAGAATGCATCAGAGTCAGGTTTGATCTTCTGGTAAGAGTGGTGGTATTTGGCCAGATTACCCGAGGTCATTTCTCTTTTGTTATTCTGGCAGGTTCTCATGAGGAATGCAACTGTATCCATTCACTGGGGGCTACAAAATGGTGATGCTATCATTCATTTTTCATTTATTAGTTGAAATGCTTTTATGGAAAAACATTCCTACATCTACTATTTAGCTACTCAATGATACAGTTCATTTAGAAAGGCAGGATAAATGTTTGACTGTATTTCCTTTATTGACCAATTTTCATTATTGAACTGGTTTCTTATCATCCTTCAAAGATAACCAATCTCTTTCTTTTTTTATTTGTTTGTTTGTTAAATACCACTATGAACTCAGATTTTAACATCTCTGATGGGTTTCAATCTATAGAAATTTTATCATTATTGAAGCTCTAGTTGTCTGATCTTTGGCTGGGACACCACTTTGAGGGTTAGGTTTCAACATATGACTTGGGGGGAGAGGGAACATAGACATCCTGTCTGTAGTAGCACTTAACCATGAGCCTTCTTGGTCTTGCTTCCTAACTCTCACTCCTCACCCAGCACACCCTTAGGGCCAGACTTCTCCCTTTCAGTTCTTTGCTCTGAGCTGCTTAATGCTGGTTCTATTCCCAACAGTTAATCCCTTACATGGGAAAAGTCCTTTTTCTACAGGAAAGCCTTAGTACATTACGTCTGAGAACTCAGAGGGCCAGAGCACCATTCGAATCAGAATTACACACCTTCATATCTTGGCTCTAGGCAAGGCTCTCCCAGGTGGAGCTCTGCTCTAGAACCAGACCTTGGTGTTTTCCACGGAGTATCTGCGGGTGGTCACTGAGTGACACCCAATTTTAATTTTGAGAATATCTTATCACCTATTTGTGTTATAAACATTGTCTGTGGATTTGAGGTCTTGCTGTCTAGTGGCCCTGTCTCTTTCTCTGTAACTATTTCAATAAATGGGAGGAAAATGACAAAGGAAAAAGAGACTGAAAAAGTTGAAGTCACACAACCACCATCTGCCTCAAGTCCCCCTGGATGGGTTTCTAACAAGCACACAAGAACGCACATACAAAAATGAGAGCTGCCCTTCAAATTGTCATTTCTGGAGAGCTAATGATAGTGAGTGATTCTGAAAAACATTTTAGAACTGAACCCAGAGAGACAAGTGGGTATATAAAACTCAAATTATCCTTTACTCCACTCTGTAGTTAGGTAGCAGTAAGATAATGGAAACTTATTTGAAGGATAAGAAGTAACCAGATCTTGACTTGCTCCCCAACAACAAATACACATGAATGAATAAAATA